GAGAGAGAGAGCGAGAGTTTGTTAATGAAAAAGTGAGGAGTTATCAGTTATGGATGTTTATAAAGATGTTGATTGATGAGTGTATCTGAAAAGGGCATGGTTCTTATACTGTGGCCATGAAGGTCTGGCATTTTAAAGTGCACTGACATAATGCTTATTGAAAATATAATTACTAATTAATATTGCACATACGCGCAAGCAAATGAACATTGTTATTTTTAGTTTATCTATGCCACCAGCGAGTTTGTGTTTTTTTAATACTTTTTAAGGTTATGATAGGGCAAAAAAATCGAATATATATATGTTCTACACCTTTTTTAAATAATTTCACAAGTATGTTTTAATTTCTTCTGAAACTTTCCACTTTTATTTCATACAGAAAAACATCCAAAACACTAAAATTAGAAGATATGTTTTTACATAACTCAACACCTTTCTATTTGTGCGTCACGATACTTTTTCATACCAGGAAATCCGTAGAAATCGTTATTTTTGGTGTATCTTATTTTTTTTCAAGCTATGTCGTATTTTTTAATATTTGAAGGTTATGCGCACGTATAACCATGCAAAATTAATTCTGGATTCTTGTAACTCTAACTAAACATTGTATTATTCATTTCAAAATTTTCCCTCTTCATTTCATGAAGCTATATCAAAAACATTAAAAATTAAAATTATCTTTTTAAACACCTCAACGTCTCTGTTATACTGATATTTTTGACTCCTTTTGGAAATCTGTAAAAATCATTTTTTTTTTTTTTTCTGTATATTGCTTTATTTTTAAAATATGACATATTTTTTAATATTTAAATGTTACATCTCACTATGAAAACCCGTCGAGTTAATATTGGCTGTCTGCATCAATATGTCATGCATGCAAAATTTTTTTGGTAATTTACCTTATAAAAATAACAAAACTAACTAGTGTATACGTGTATTATACCACATGGACGCATATGTATACAGTAGAGCCCATGGAGCCATGGAGGCTGTAGAAGTAGACAACTACACAGTACACACTCACATGCATACCTCGATTCTCTATGACCTCAAATATATACAATACACACATACTTGTATGCATGCATACCCCTGTATGATTCCTATCTCACTTAAAGAGTTGGAAGAAAAGCCATTCTCTTTGTACGAAAAAAGAAATTGTAAAAATTGTCAAGTTGAACGTGAACACTACAATAATAAACATTTACACTAATATTCTATTAAGTTCAAAAAATATACACGCAAAATACTATTGAAGTAAAATCTTAATACATGACTTGCTTCTCTGAAATAATGTAATTGTTTATTTGTTTTTCTTCAATTTTGTATCAAACTTTAATTAATAATAAATAAAATCCTTGAATTGAAAATGTGAAACATACTATATGCACTATTTGTAATATAGTACAGAGAACAATGGTAAGAAGCGAGAATACGAGGGGTACTTTGCAGCTTGGGGCGCTGACGTCTGGTACTGCAGTTTGATTTTTTAGCTAAAGTAATAATCGTTTCTCTATTTATGAAAAAAGCATTTTCAATAAAAATTGGATGTAGAATACGATGGTCATACTTAAAACACGCTAAGTGGTGAGTTTCATTGTTAAAAATTGATTTAAACATTTAAATTGTTTATATCAGTATGAAACTGATTGTAAATTTGTTTTACATATTTTTCTTTTAAAATTTACGTTTTTCCCTTTATAATAAAAAAAAATTAAATCTTCAGCTCGAATAGAACCAAAATTATAAATTTTTGAAAATTAGTCTTCAAGTTAAAAACTCGCTTTCATCGAATTTTCGACCGCTTATATTATCTAAAATACGTAAAAAAAAAAAAACCTCGAACTTTTATGTTTTTTGCTAAAAGTAGAGTCTGTAAAAAAAAATTCAGCCAATTCTGAGATGTGTTGGTCAAAAAGTGCTCGGTTTGTAAAAGAATGACCCATTTACGTACATCAGTGTTGGTATTCTGATACCGTCTGTCATTTATAACCATGAAGCCAATTTTTACGTCTTTCTTGGCAAATATCTTTGGAAAGTGCCCCATTACAGGCTTGCTAACATAGAGAAAGAAACTTAGTAGGTTAAAAAATATGACGATATATTTATAAAGCGCAAAAATGTAGTATATATATCGTTCGATTTTTGGAAAAATCACGCATTCTGACTAACGACATCGTGAGCCTTATGAAAAATACTTAGATTTATAGTATCAAAAAACATTGAAAAATGCCAAGTTAAAAAAGAAATCAAAAAATAAATAAATAAAAAAAAAAACCATTCTTAAAGTGACAAACAATTGATACGTAAACAGCCCGTGTATGGTACTGTATATATTTGCAGCGCCGAGCAGCTCGCGTCTTATTCAATTCTATTGTAAATGGAGAGATTCACCTAAACACGATACCTTTAAAAATTATTTATTTACCTATAATGAGTGAAATAATTGAAACGTGATTTTGGGTGTAAAATATTATTGTTACAAAGACTGAGAGGAATCTCGGTGAATCCATAGAGTAGAGGAGGGAAAGGAAAAACAAGAGACCGATGTTGTTGTACAAAAAATTGCGCTTTTTTTTCCCTCGTCTCCAAGTATCGGCGTAATAATAGAAAGAAAGTGAGAGATAACCGTGACACGAGTCGACCCCTTTTGCGATAATTATAATTATATGTTTGGTCACTGCAACGCACGTATTCTCGGCTCTCCCACAAACTTTCTTCTTCTTCTTTTTTTTTTTTTTTTTTTTTTTTTTTTTTTTTTTTTTTTTATTATTGTTATTTCAGCAAAAAATCTTGGGGGAAAAAAAAAAGTGTGGAAAGAAAAAAGGATAGCCCTTACTCTTGTAGAGCCTCGGGCAAGCCATAGTAGGCTTGACTCTGTTGGTGGTAAATCATGGCACTGGCCGAGGAGTCGCCGGGTAGCCTCGGTCTGAGCTCCTCGAGCGAAACAACGAGCTCGCGGGGCTGGTGACGCTGCGATGATTGGTGGAGTAGCTCGTGAGCGTAGCCCTGGTTACCCTGGGCTACCATATCGTCGATTTCAGCCCCAAGGCCCTCGATCAGCCCTACTGGCGCGACATTGCTGCTGCCCTCCGGCGACGCCTCCTCGATTTTGCTCCCGACGTCCTCGAAGCAGTCAGCGATCCTGCCCTCGATGCACCCGTCCAGCGATAGACTGCCCTCGTCTGTGTGCAAAGTGATTTTTTTTTTTTTTTTTTTTTTTTTTTTTTTTTTTTTTTTACTAAGGTGGTGGATAAAAAAATCACGCTAATCGCATACATAGTTACTATATCTCGTAGCACGGATAGGTGTAACAATCACAATTCTATACTCGACTTGCACGTTTTTTGGAGCACCAAGTGAATCGAGTCATCGTGGAATGTGACATGGTGTTCTTACCGTCTGACCACACCTGACCCGTTCTACTTGGGCCCCGCGTTTTCAAGCTTACATGGGCGACAGAACTCACTCGTTTCGCAGCGCGTCTCGGCGGCAATTTTTCAATGCTCGTAGAGCCACGGCGTACAAATTAACCCGATTCGTGCAACGGCAAGAAGAGCTGCATCCTCGTCAACCGGAATCTCGTTAGCCGCGGGGGGGCTTATCGCGTAATCCAATCACCGCTACGCAGTCATCGAAGAAGAGACACCGAGCAAAGATCATCCATAGGGTAAACAACAACAACAACAAATGACAACGTGTGCGTTAGATATAGTTACCGAAGAGCCTGTACATCCAGGAAGTGGCAGCGGCATCCTCGACCGGTTGCACCGGAGGCCTGTCCTCCCCGGTGCTCCTCCCCACGGGCAACGACGACGCCTGCTTCTCCTCCTCCTCTTTCCTCCGCCCCCTCGTGCCACTCCAATGAGTCCCGACGCCCGCCGTCGAGCCTCAAATTACACTCGACATTTTTCTACCTGCACCGATACATACCAATGATTCTTTGACTGTTGCAACTGTGTGTGGGAGCCTTTTTTTAACTTGCGCTATTGTTTCCTTTACTTTTCGTACGAGTAAGTATACCGGTGGCTCCGCTCACGGGTGACACCCATGTGCTCTTCTCTTTTTACTGGTGTGTACGTTTTTTTTTTTTTTTTTTTTTTTTTTTTTTTTTTTTCTTTTCAGTCGAACGGGCAAAGAAGACTCCAGCTCAAACGCCGCGTTCAAAGAACAAACTATACCCTTACACGTAAACACTGCACAAGTATATAGAAAAAAAAAAAAAAAAGAATAAAAAGGATGGAGGTGGAACAATGCGTGGCTAAGCGAGCGAGAATAGGTACAAGTAAACGCGAGTGGTAAGTGCCGTGTCACGAGAGCGACTGGAAAGCGATCGCGCGACCCGCCAACTCTCTCCCCACGTGGTCGCGTGCGGCCGGCGATCGGTTAACTCCACTTGCTCGCTCGCTCCCCCCCCTTTTTTTTTTTTTATCCCGCACGCGTAAGTATATACGGCAATGTAATAAAGTGGAGAGAAAGAGAGCTGCCGCGCACAGGTGATGGGAGTCGCCCGAGTGTCTAATGTATGCGTGCACGAGGAGTAGGTGTGTAGACCTATATATACGCGCGAGTAGGACGTACCCTCGACCGAGCCCCCACACCCCCTGTATACCCACTGCGGAGGCGTAGGGGGTGTCGCTCTTCGCGGCCGGCGCACGCGCCTCTTGTCCACCGCTCCTCGTCGCTTATTACTTTTTTTTACCCCGAGGTCTCGAGTATATATACTTGTACCGTCAACCTATATACACCCCTTTTTACCACGATTTATATATATTCACCGTCATTTCTACGTACATCTACGCGCAATCGAACAAAACGTTGCGCGTTTCTCGTTTGCGATAAATCGGCGTGCTTTTCGACTGCCTCGTCGGGTTTCAAGTTTCGATATTCCCGGGAGTCGTTGAATTTTTGGCCAAGCGATTTCAATGATACGAGTGTGGTGCCTCTCTGTTTGCCCGTATAACATCTCGAGGAGCTTTTCGAGTGACGTGAAACACGCGCGGACAGACGCACATTATGAGAAAAGTTGTGGCCATTCGACTTCCAAACTTGGAACCTTCGAGTGTACAACCCTCGAGGTATGGGTACCCGCATTTGTCCACCCTCACCCGATCCGGGACATTTTTCAGCATGAAATACATCCACGTACACACCCCCACACGCGTGTATATATCTTTGTTCTCCACGTCCGGTAGAGAGAGAGAGAGAGAGAGAAGTGCATCGTCATAACGATGGCCATTCGTCATTAAACAAACGCAGGCGCACGTTGTACTGACGATGATCGTTAAGTCGGGCTTATCGCGTTCGGAGGTCACATCCTGACCCCCTTCGGCCCTCGAGCTTTCGCGTTAATTACCGGCGAGCAGCTTTGACGATCCTCGTAATCCGTTTGTCCGGGTCTCCGGCCATCGGGGCCAAACGCCGAATTAATTAGGACGATACAATATGCCGGCAAATGCATGCCTATCTTTCCACACGGTTTTCACGGACGTTTTTTTTTTTTTCCCTCTGGTTTGGTGATATCGTACCACGGCGCTGCCGATCACGTTGGTATGTGTAAGTGATCGGTATAGGACAGCTGAAAAGTTTTTTTTTGCTTCTCAAAAGCTTCGAGAGGGGGTGGGAAAAGAAAAAAAATCAATTAAGCTGGATGCTACGTGCGGTTGTCCCCCGCGAACACGTTAGTTTTCCTTTGTTCGGGGGGATGTGAGTCTCGCGTTACATCCGCGCACCCAGTTGGACGGGGAAACGTGATAATCTCGATTATTATCTCGCTCGTGATGGGAAAAGTGGTCATCTTGGACCTTCCGATTGATTGGTAAAACGAAACCACGTTGCAGCTCCGGGTGTTTTTTCTTTCTCCTACCATCCTCGAAATCTAAGGGACAATGCTCGTCTTACCGCTAACTGATGGTGTTTCATTCACTCATTGTTGCAGAATATAAAACTCAAGGTAAAAAATTGTACTTTGCAGAATATTCTTTATTGTTTTTGCATTACTGTTTCTCGTTGCTTATCTCTTCGTATTGATGCGAGTTTTTTCGTTGCAGTATTGTAAAAATCGTGTACCATTTTTGTTATTCGGTTGGGTACAAAAATTATTTTAAAATCAACTAAAACAGTCGATTTTTTCATATCTACCTTTAACTCGCGACAGGTACCTCGACGCCTGCGCTACATTGGACAGTCCCTGTGTCTTCGACAATCTAAAATTGAAAATAAAAAAATAAATAAATAAAAAAAAAAACCATTCTTAAAGTGACAAACAATTGATACGTAAACAGCCCGTGTATGGTACTGTATATATTTGCAGCGCCGAGCAGCTCGCGTCTTATTCAATTCTATTGTAAATGGAGAGATTCACCTACGCGCCACAATTATAACGCAGCTCGAGATAGTTTTCGTCACGCACCCAAAAATTACCGTTAACTGGACTCTCGAACCGATTTGCCGAGTAATTGTATGTGCACTTTGTCACGAAATTACCCAGGAAATGGCTCTCTCGCATATTCGTGGGGCAAATGGAGATTAATATGCTCTTATCAACTCTGTTCGAATTAATGTAAACAATAGCAAAGGAGACGATATCGAATCAAACGATATGAGGGAAAAAGAAAAGGAACATCGATGGCCAGGTTTAATTGGCACGGAAGACACAATAGCGACGAGGAGGAGGAGGAGGAGGACAAGACTAATCGATACAGTGCAGGGGATGTTGTTTTTATTACCTTGTTTTTTCTCGGGCTCATTATTACACGATTCGGCGAGCAATCAGCGACGAAAATTAACGACCTGCCAATTATGAGGTGCCTCCTCTCCCAACCCCAACCTCGGCTCTCTCTCGTCTTATGGATTATAATTAGGCAGTTCTTTCCAGAAACAATAGTAAAGAAGAAGAAGAAAAAAACAAAGTTGTATCTCAATTTGATCGTCAAATGTATGCGTTCATTAAATTGCATACACCTATATATGTGACTACTGTTTTTGTAAAACGCAAAATCACGTATATATATATGAAGGTAAATGAATCAAATGCATATTATTTTGCAGGTATATTGTCTGTGTTTTTTTTTTTTTTTTTTTCTTTCCAACAGAGTCAAATATCCCAAGATTGCACAACCCTCGTGTATAATATACACAATTTTATAATGGGTGCTTATCGATGAAAGAGGTGGGTCGGAGGGGGGGGGTACCCAGTATTGGTATACAAGAGAGTAAACGCTGGCCAGTTACGCAAGTCTTATCGCAGCCTATACACCTATTATACCGGCTGCAATTGACGGATCATACCAGGGCGATGTGTACACACGAACCCGGGGATCTGCGTGTGCCGCTGACACGTTCGCTGCTCCGCAGGTTACACAATGTGTATATAGGTAATGCACATACATACATATGTGGCTTTCGTTAATTCAAACTCTCCCTTTTTCGCTTTGTGCGTTTGTCGCGCGAGAGATAACGATCGCGTAACAGTAATGAGAGGGAGAGAGCGTGTGTAAAGGAGGCTCGGGTTAATCAATTATGGGAGCCACTTTTTCAAGGTTTCTAGGGATATGGATTTAGGTTCTTTCAACGCCACTGGGCACAGGTACACATGTTATATAATATGCTTTGGAGTTTCAGCGCATTGAGATCACAGAAGAAGAAGCATCAGGTTGCATCTGCCATTCAAACGTATGGAATAGGAAACATTTATTTCATTCGTCTTTCTTGAACGACATATCTTTTGTACATATGTATAGCCGAGCAGTGCGAATAGTCGTCAACTGCAATGTATAGGTACATGCACTACTTGCGAATTGCGATTGTACAACGTATGATACACGAGGAAATCCACAAAAAAATATCCCGTTTTTTTCCCCCCCATTTAAATAAAAAACATTTTTTTGAGGAACACCTTCGAGGATAGGGCTCATTTTACTCGTACTGTCATGTACTGTGAGGAAAAACTTTTGAACGCCCTTTTTCCGCGATTTACGTGTTAAAATTACATCCTAAATAGTTAATACTTACGTATAAATTGGCGACGAAAACGAGATATTATTTGTGGTTTTTGTCACATACGCGTGTGTACGTATAACAACAAGATACGATGTAGCACATTCTACGTGTACTCAGATTGTTCTTCGATCTCGTGGCGCGGCACGTAAATGTACCGATTTTTATGCAAAAGAGCAAGTGCCCTTTTTATTTTCGCACACAAATTTGAGATCAAGTGTACAAAGGGATGGCTGCATAAGTACACCGTATTCAAATCGTTGGGTACTTGGAATCGAATGAACAGCACAAAGCAGATGTGAGAGAAAAAGTTTGAGGCCACCCGGAAAATCCGAGCACATTATGTACATACATTACGAGCTATAAGTCTACGACGCGTTTGCAATGTTATTAACATCGTGCGTTGTCTTTGGACTCTGCTTGGCAATGTCAAGGTTTCGACGACTGCAACCATTGCTTTTTTTTTTTTTTTTTTTTTTTTTGTATCTGCCGCGCGCGTCTGTTTTCGTATACGTTCTCGCACTATCCATACATACGCGTGTGTTTGAATTGTTTTCCACTTGCAAGTTAAAAACTGCATCTGTTACAAACACCACAACGCGTCCCGCGTGCGCTGTACACGAAAATCATTGCGATAAGAAAAATCGAGGAATATTCGCGACGATATCTAATCGATTCACGGAGAGAGAAATTCAGCTCTCGTACAAGTTTATGTACAAGTAAAGACCCGTGACAGCGAGTTTGATGGGCTTACATATAAATCTAGCTTGTGTGGATATAATGGCTGGACTCGAGCTTTGCATTTTGTCTCGCCAACAGCCCGATGGGCAATCATTACCATGGCCTATAAACACCGAGACTCATGCAACGAGAGATCGTGTTTATTCTTTTTATGTCGCATCACCTGCTGGAGACTTTG